CAGGCTCGCGAGACAGCATTTGCTGTCTCGGCGGGCGAGACAGTGTTTGCTGTCTCGGCGGGCGAGACAGTAAACGCTGTCTCGGAAACAGTAACCGTCAGGCAGTTTTCGTTTTAACTGCCTTCCCACGTTTCAAACTCCGTTATTTTGGCATTTATCCACGTGATTTTCGCCCACGATGTTTTCCACATCCTTTGGCAGTTAATGGACACGTGTAGGGTAGTTACAAAGGCGGTTTTGACCATTTCAACACTGTCTCGCTGGCGAGACAGCAAACACTGTCTCGCTGCGAGACAGCAAATACTGTCTCGCTGCGAGACGGTAAACTCTGTCTCGCTGGCGAGACAGTAAACACTGTCCCGCTGGCGAGACAGTTCATATCTGTCATTTTGAGTAATTTTTTCTATGTTCGGATATCTATTGGCATTTTTTTACGCCTACACTAAGGTGTGAAGTTAGCTCAATGTCTTGGTCCGTAAAAGATTGTTATTGAATCAAATGCAAACGTGGTTCTTGATGAGCTAGATGGAGTAAATGGCTGATTCCCACCTTATATCCATTTGTGATGAAATCTTATGAGTTGCTAGGGATATTTCTCAAGTTCGCCTTAAGTTTGCTCGTAGGAACAGTAATCAAGTGGCCTGCAAACACAAATTGCCAATTTTGGCTTTCTTATTGGCTTATTAGTAAAGTTTCAATTCCCACTTTTCTACAAAAATAAAAAATATAAAAAAGGGAAAGAAAATAGGTGCGTTTTTGCAAATAACCCGATGGGTGTTTCTATCTTGTCTCGTTAGGGGTATCCGTTTTGATTAAAATGCTCCAGAGAGGATATCGGATCTCATAGACATATTTTCCTCGGTGCTCAAGGCTTGAGGGCACTTGAGAAATCGACCGAGAGCGTTTTCTTTCCTCCGATCCGAGATCTGCCGACAGGTACCAAGAAATGTAAGTTCTATCAATTTCTTCAAGTTTTTGTTTGTAGTCTGTGTTTTCACCGTGAAAATTCCTCTTTTTCCCCTTGGATCTAGTAACCGGATCTAGGGTTTTCGGGATTATCGCACTTTTTATATTTAATTTCTAGTTTAATTGATCTTATATAGATCCGGTTGTGCACTATTGCTGGAATTCTTGGATATAACTGCTAGATTTATTGGCCTTGATGGATCAATGGTGCTGTAATCTTATCGAAGTTAGATAGTTGGAATTCTGAGAACTTAACCTAATTAAACCCTAAATCAGTAGAAATCCTTATCAAATTATTATCGATTTGTCTTCATATTCTTGTATTACGGGGAGCGAAGCTTTCAATTTAGGCACATTGATATGAACGTTAGAGGAACTTTTCAAAAAGTTTTGAATGGTTGTTTGCAATTTTTTTTTTGAGTTACTTTTGTCAAAAAAGAAAAGAAAAGAAAACGAAACATTTGGTAATTTTCCTTTTTTTAATTAAATCTACTGTAAAATAATAGCCCCATTAGCTGAGTTGTGGTACCCTTCTATATATTGATTTGGATAGCAGAGAGAAAACTGCCTGTTTAGGTGATATGATCCAAATTCTTGTAATTATATGAATCAGATTTTGATTACCGCTTTATAAGATGTGTAGTTTCCTCATATATATTGAACACTGTTAGCTGAAGTACTATGTGCATGTTTTTCACTCGGGCAGATTGCGAAATAAGAAGAGCTCTAACAAGTTAGACAATGATTAAACATTCTTTATAATAGGCACTTGGTTCCTAAAAATGAACTATTTATCATTCTATGTTCTTTTAGATTCTAATGATCACCTTCCACTAAGTGATGATGTCCTTTCACAATTTCCTACACTTGCAATTAGCTTTCTTTTGGTCAATTCTCTGACAATTGAAGTAAAAAATTTGGTGATTCTCTAAACTAAATGAATTATTTTTGGGTTTTTCTCTTAGAGTCCAGAACAAACAAAGGTTAGCTTAAGATTTACAGCCTACTGTTAATTTATGCAGTTAGATCCACACTCTTAGCAGTAGAGCAATGCCTGCTCAAAAGATAGAAACAGGTCACCATGATGTGGTTCACGACGTATCAATGGACTATTATGGCAAGCGTCTAGCAACCGCTTCTTCTGATGCTACCATTAAGATCATTGGTGTCAGCGGATCCTCTCACCACCCACTTGCTACTCTCACTGGCCACCAGGGTCCCGTCTGGCAAGCTGCGTGGGCCCACCCAAAGTTCGGCTCCATACTCGCCTCGTGCAGCTATGATGGCCGCGTGATCATTTGGAAGGAAGGAAACAAGCCCGAAGAGTGGATTCAAGCCCATGTGTTTACTGAACACAAGTCCTCTGTTAACTCCATAGCTTGGGCTCCTCACGAACTTGGCCTCTGTTTGGCTTGTGGATCATCGGATGGAAACATCTCCGTCTTCACTGCTCGGTCTGATGGGGTATGGGATACTACTAAGATCGATCAGGCTCATCCTGTTGGGGTTACTTCTGTGTCGTGGGCCCCATCAACTACACCTGGTGCTCTTGTGGGCTCAGGACAGCTCGATCCCGTGCAGAAGTTGGTTTCCGGTGGTTGTGATAATACTGTTAAGGTGTGGAAGTTATATAATAATGGTTGGAAAATGGATTGTTTTCCTGCACTCCAGATGCATTCAGATTGGGTGAGAGATGTGGCTTGGGCGCCGAATTTGGGGCTTCCGAAATCTACTATTGCTAGCGCATCGCAGGATGGAACAGTGGTTATATGGACGGTGGCGAAAGAGGGTGATCAGTGGGAGGGGAAAGTGCTGTATGATTTCAAAACTCCAGTGTGGAGGGTTTCATGGTCATTGACGGGAAACATTTTGGCTGTGGCTGATGGGAATAATAATGTGACTCTGTACGACAGTTGAGCCGTAAGAGATTCTAAATCTTGGATGGGGTTTCTTTTATGTGCCTTGCTGATAGGAAAGTTTCACATTTTCTTTTATATGTGTGGTTGCTTTAGACATTTTTTATTTTGTATTGCTTTTGGGTGCACAATGTTATAGCCTTGTCTATTTAAAAGCATGAAGTGTTATCGTGTTGTGTTCCTGTCAAACTCTTTGAATGGCTGCGAGGTTTTACTTAGATATCTGGTGTTATGACTTCACTTGTTTCTTAGAAGAGGTGCTTTTCATATGTTGCTGCTTTCAACTGTATTGTCTACTTCGGGTGAAGAGGCTGTTGATGTTTATTGTTCTGAAAGATTGAATCTGATGCAGATGGTACATCCAGTAATTGAGGTATCTTGTTCTTAAACTTTGTCATTTATCATCTTGCATATATTGAAACTTAAGGAGGTTTACCCGTGGCCTTTTTGTGAGTAGTCTCTTGTGGATTGAATTTCGCCTTTTTGTGAGTAGTCTCTTGAGGATTGAATTTTGGGCATAAGGTATGCTTTTAACTGTTTAATAAATGGGTTTCTTACACAATCGTTTGCATTACTTTTCTTTTGAATGGAACCGAGTACTGTCAGGAGTCAGAGAAAGATTACAAGTTATCAGGACAATTTAAGATGGTTTAAGTCATTTCTCTGACCCTGACCTCATGTTCATTGCCTGAAATTATTTAGATCATGGGAGGGTCTGTCATCTTTGATCCCGATTTCCAGTTTGTAGACAAGATGAACTGTAGGATTGAAGGAAATTAGCGCGACGTCTGTATTGGACTGCGAGTTATGCTAGCCTAAAGAATAAAGAGCTCTTTATATCAAGTCCAGAATATCATGAAATGGTGGAAATTTGTTGGCATACAATCAATATTTTTTATTTCACATGCTTATTTTTTAGACAATTGGTTTCCATTTTATGGCAAAAAACTTATATACATGTACAGGCAGATAGATTTGAACATATTTTCCGTAGGAAATTGTATGAAGGGAAAAGAGTCAAATAGGCTTTTCACATTCTTGTCTAATGCCATCAAATTGAGCTTTCATGCTGGTTGACACTTCACCATGTTCGTCATGTTTCACAACCTAAGCGCAGGATCAGTTGTTTGCCAAACCAACCCTGTGTCTAAATCTTGAGTAATATGGACCTGTAGCCAGGTAGGAACCATAACATATAACACCTTTTATCGGCATCTTTTTGTTCCTATTACTTCCGAAACTTGATAAAACGCGATGATTGTATGTGCACAATTATTGATTTGCAGGCTGTATGCTGCCTGCAGGGGGCTAGTAGTAATGACCATTGGTGAAGTTGTTATGTTCACCACCTATCGGCATCTAATTTTCTATATCGGTTCATCCACCGTAGGGTTCCACCTATGCCAGCTATGACATTCATTATGCAGTCCTTTGTGACCTAGTCTGTATCTGAGTTTTCCCCTGATAAATATTGCATTTGTTTGTCTTTTAATGTTATGACGCAACATGAAAAGCGTATTATGTTTTCTCCCCTGATCACGTTGCCTGACGCTCAGCAACCGACTATATTAGCAGCGAGAAATGTTTAACGTTCAAACCATCTCGAGAGTTATGGCTTTCACCAGCGTCGTCATCATCACAGTATAGCAAACGTTTTCTGTGGACACGAACTTAAACGACTCTGAGGCCCCCTTCAAGCTAATTTGGTCCAACTTGATCGATGCTGGAGCTGGAAATCTTAATGGATTTTTGAAACAGACTACTTTGAGAGTAAGCTCAGGCTTCTACTGTTTCGACCACCCTCTGAGTGGTCTCAGGTTTGGCTCGCGAAATTGGACTCGGGTTGCATCTCATGGATGTTTAATCAGATTCTGGGCTACGTAGTCTGTGATGGCTTGATATATGTTTGCTGGCTAGTTAAACTACGTTCACCGTGTTACATGAATACAATACCATAATCGATATGTATTACACAGGCAGAGAGGTATATATACTGCAGCTTATCATGGAATGTGGATTGCTTACGGTATTACTAAGGTTCTATGGAATTCCAAGAAACTTGTTAACTGAGTTTATGCGTTTCAAATCTTCAAGCTTTTCCTACTTCTCAGTTATTCATGTTATCAGTACAAGAAACATTTCTATTGAAAATGTATTATAATCCACTAAATTGACTGAAGTGTACTTGCTTATAATCTGTTTTGTCGATTATAAGCCAAGTATATACATCTCAAATCTGACCGAAGTGTACTTGCTTATAATCCGTTTTGTCGATTATAAGCCAAGTATATACATCTCAAATCTTAAGGTATTCCTCTTAAATCATCGTTACCCTGAAATTGCCCTCTCTTGGCTGGAACTCCACCCACCTCGAAAACTCCACCGTCGAGAACCCCTAGCCTGTGCCCGCAACATCTTTTTCCCTCTACATAATAATTTTCATGTTGAAAAAAAATGCTACAATGTGAAAGTAAATTAGCTATTACGGTTATATCCTCTTTTCCCTTGAGTTCGTGTAAAAAAAAATTTGGTTGGACTATAATGTGGAAGTAAACTAGCAATTACAATGATTTGAAGATTAAGGTATAGGTAAAATATGGGGAGATACAAGTTGAAACTTAAAGCATGTTTGACAACCTACTTATTTCAACTTATAAGTATGTTTTTATTTATGAGATTCCAAGATCATGTTTGGTAAATGTTTTATTTATTTACTTATTTTTAATTTATAAGTAGCAAAAAAAAAAGCTGGAAGTTTCCAACTTATTTATTTATTTTTGGGTATTTACAAGGTGATTTAGTTATTGATGTGAAAAGTCTACTTCATCCTCTAATAAAATAAGTAAAAATAAGGTGAAAACTTGTGTCAACTTAAGTGGATAGGGAATAGTGTGTCCACCAAAGTTTTTAACTACTCATATTGTCTAGGGATCTTTGTATTATATAAAAAGATGTTTTATATTAATAAATGTGTGGCTAGGAACTTTGATAGACATCAACTTAAGTTGATAGGAGTTTTGCTCGTAAAAATAAATAATAAGTAACTTGTAAGGCTTCACAAAAGAAGTAGTAGCCAGATCTGATCTTCAAACCCCCTTTTTATGTAATAACATTGGGCTAATTTCACAAAACCACTTGAACCTTGGGTGGGTTTTTTCACATACCCCTCCAACTTTGCTGCGTCTCACAAAACCCCCCTGAATTTCAACCTTTTCTCACCGTAACATTTCTACACATAATTTGTTACTGAAAATGTTCTTGAGAGTTCAGGAGTTCAGAAAAGCTACGTGAGATGAACCCTAAAAATTTCACACAACACTATTTAAGATCCGAATACAACCTTAAACACGATCAGATGCCCCGAAGCCGAATCCAATATCCTCATCAGCTTCGTTTCGGATGTAACATAAACCCGACCCGCTAACCCTCAGCCTCCGTCCCCCATCTCCTCTCCCCCCTTCCGACGACTCCAAATTCCGTACGCTTCGCGGAAAAGACTTGCGTAAGCTAAATTTCTCTCTTCTCTCTCTCTAAAATTTTTGACGAGATCCGATCCGATTACTGATCAGGAGAGGAAACAAACCTCGAAGGAAGAAATCCAATGGCGTCGAGTTCTTCATCGCATCAAGGGGAGATCCTGAAGTTCGCTCCTCTTCAGAGCTTAGTGGACGCTGGATTCTGGAGGCGCTTCTCTTCTCTCAAGCTCGATACTTTGAGGATCGACCAATCCCCCATCAACATCACTGGTAAGTTCTCGATCCACGTTCGATAATCTGTTTGATTCTGATTGTGGTGGCCTGAGTTCAGTTCTGCAACTTTGAATCGGGAGTTTGGGAGCCTGCGGAGTCTCAAATTTCAATTCTTGGTTAGGGTTAGCCAGTTGGTTCTTTGATTGCTCGTATTTTTGGAACCCGTCCACGAAATATTTGTGATTATGTAATAGGTTGATATCTTGTTGGATATACTCCAATAAAGGTTTCTGCATTGGTGCTAAATCATTAATTTGGCAACGCTGAAAGACTTCATGCGAAGTGGTTGGTTAGAAATTGCGTTGAATTTCATCAAATATAGCTCTTTCTTCATTGAGCTACTAATTTTTCACATAAATTTCCGATAAAGCTGCAAAGGTAATGGTTAATTGTCAGTTGTTTATGGTTGGTTCTTACATGGTTAAACTACGCCGCAGGATTTTATGCACCTTGTTCCAATACTGAAATATCAAACCACTTGACGCTTCTTTCCGAGTCGTTGTCGCCTGAACCCAGCGAGCAATCACCAGAAGTTGAATTTAGACGTGGTAATCGAAACAGATGCCCCGTTCCGGGGATTCTTTACAACACCAATACATTGGAGAGCTTCCGTGCACTTGATAAGAAGAACCTATTGACGATGGAAGCTAAGAAGGTCTCCTTTCTTCATAAATCCTTAACTTCTGTTCATGCTTACGTGGATGTGACTTTGACTAATTTAAATTACTATGTCAATTGGTGTTATTAGATTTTTGAAGACATTTGCTCTGGGAAAGTAGAGGAGGATAGTGCAGTACTTTCAAGGTTTCTTCTAATCTCTTTTGCTGATTTAAAAAAGTGGAGCTTTCGTTACTGGTTTGCATTTCCTGCTTTAGTACTTGATCCTCCAGCAACCATACTTGACCTGAAACCAGCATCAAATATGTTAAATGTTGAAGAGGTATTTTCATGGGACTTGCGGTTTCTTTTTGTTTACTTTCTTAGAAGCATATCTTTCTAATTAGTTTTTGAAGAAAATCTAATACTGGATATGTTAATTAGGCAGAATCCTTAGCTGCAGCGTGTAATGAGTGGCGTAATTCAAGTTTGACTACAGGTTTAGAATTTTCTGCTATACGTATTTAATTTTCATTGTCAGTTACCTGGACGGAGTACATCCGTTTGACATATCGGTATTTCACATATTTGCAGGGATGCCATTCTTTTTGGTTACTATATCTTCAAGTTCACATGCTACTATCAGGCCACTGAAGGATTGGAAAGTTTGCCAGGGCAATGACCAAAAGGTTTACGTTTAACTACATATCGTCCCTTTTTCATATAAATTCTTTTATATTTGTTGTAAGATTCAATATTCTAGGACTTGGTTGTTCCAATAAGAATGGACTTTGTTGCTTATTTTAGTTGACACTGTTAAAATGACACTTGCGCAGTTGTTGTTTGGCTTTTATGATCCATGTCATCGTCCAAAGAATCCTGGTTGGCCTCTACGCAACTTCTTTGCATTCATTTGTCTGAGATGGAAGCTAGAGAAGATCCGCTTTTTATGCTACCGAGAGAAACATGGTCTGGCTGACATGGAATCATCCCTTATTGGTGAAGCCTTGATTTCACTACCACAAGGTGATGATCACTTTTGGATGTTGTTGGCATTTAATGGGCCTTCCTCAACTCTGTTCTTTTTTTTTGTTGGGGTGCAAATATAGTTTTATTGACTCCCACAAATTTTGTTTTCTTATTTTACAAATTGATAAGAGTGGAGAGATCCTCAGTGCATACCAAAAGCTGTTGGGTGGGAAACTAATATTGAAGGTAAATTGTCTTCTAGGATCATCAGCCTTGCAGAGTCCATGGACCCAGAGAGGTATGCATTAAAATTTTATACAAAGGATATTCCTTAATGCACATAACAAAAATAAGCCAAATTAAGATTAACATATATCTAAAATGCTACCGGTTTGTATATGGCAGGTTGGCTGTATCTGCTGCAGATTTGAACTTAAAGCTCATGAGATGGCGTCAATTGCCTTCTCTAAATTTAGATGCCTTGTCTAGTGTCAAGTGTCTACTCCTGGGTGCTGGTACACTTGGATGTCAAGTTGCTCGGATGCTTATGGTTAGCAATCATAGAAGGACAACTATGTAACGACTCTTCTGTTTCAAATTCTCTTTTAGCCCTATCTGATATATCATGTTATATCTGCAGGCTTGGGGCGTTAGGAAAATAACACTGCTTGATAGTGGCCGAGTAGCTATGTCTAATCCTGTCAGGCAGTCTCTATATACGTTTCAGGACAGCCTCAGTGGTGGGAGCCTAAAAGCTCATGCAGCAGTTAAAAATCTAAAGGGCATATTTCCAGCTGTGGTATGTTCAGACCTGCAAAGATCTGGCTCGTGTTAGTCTATTCTAAAGAAGTCATATTGTATAATAATTGATTACATTCATGTACAGGAAGCAGAAGGCATTGATCTGTCTATACCAATGCCAGGACATCCAGTGCCAGCTCAAGAAGTAGACAGGGTGCTTGAAGACTGCAAGAGTCTTCAAAAGTTGATCACAGCACATGATGTTATTTTCCTATTGACAGATACGCGAGAAAGCAGATGGTTTCCAACTCTCCTTTGTGCAAATGAAAACAAGGTCTCATTCCTACGTAATCAAGCGCATTTTTCCTGACAGAGTGATGCTTCTAAAAGTCAACACCATGTCGCTACATCATTTATGGAATTATTCTTCTTTGGTGCAAATAAGTACTTGTTAATACAGGTATTTTCCTTCTTTTGCAGATAGCTATCACAGCAGCTTTAGGATTCGACAGTTACCTCGTCATGCGTCATGGAGCCGGTCCCATAAACTCAACACTTAACAATAATGATCACTCTAGCATCACAGTCAATGAGGCTGCTCAGATGGGAACATTGTCCACAAAAGACGCAGATGGGTCATGTCGGTTGGGGTGCTACTTTTGCAGTGATGTTGTTGCTCCTATAGATGTAATCTTCTTGAGAACACTATTTGCTTCACTGGCTTTTTAGCTTCGTTTTTTCCTAGTCTGCACTGTAATTAGTGTTACAAGATTAACATATTCTTATTTTGCAGTCAACTTCAAACCGCTCATTAGACCAACAATGCACAGTAACAAGACCTGGACTAGCACCCATTGCTTCTGCACTTGCTGTAGAACTGCTAGTTGGAATTTTACATCATCCCAATCGGTAAGTTGAAATTGCTCCACTTTAAAGGAGCCAGTTACTCTTTACTCCACAAACTTCAATAGCAGAATAATCTGGTCATTATTTATGACTAACAATCGCTCCACTTTACTCCACAAACTTCAATAGCAGAAAAATCCGGTCATTATTTATGACTAACAATCGTATTGTGCATTTCGTTAGATATTTCTAGTCTCTTTTGAGGGTTTGGTTTCATTGAATGATGGGATACAAAATAAAGTAACATGCTTTCGTTGTGACAACCTTAAACCAGGGAAATGAAAGGAGCAGAAGCTTGAAAAAAATTTCTTCCCTTCTCTCACTTTTGTTTTAGAAACCCAATGCTCACACATTTGTTTTCCGTCGGTGGTTGGATGTCGAAAATGGTTGCACATTTGCTCGTCAAACAAATAATATTTTGCAAAATTTTCAGGATAAATGCTCCAGGCGAGATTGCTAACTCTATCATAGGCAGTAGCGAGCAACCACTCGGCATATTGCCCCATCAGATCCGAGGCTCCATTTCTCAGTTCTCTCAACTTACACTTCTCGGCTATTCTTCAAGCAGCTGCACAGCATGTAGCAGTGCCGTAAGCTAATTAATCCACTGTTTTGCTTCCACTCTCCTGTTTGATCCGCTGTTTTGCTCTAACAAATTCTTCTGTTTGATACCCTTTCAGGTTGTGTCAGAATATAGAAGTAGAGGAATGGAGTTCATCCTACAAGCTATCAATCATCCAACCTATCTTGAAGACCTTACTGGACTAACAGAGCTGATGAAATCAGCTTCTACATTCCAATTGGACTGGGATGATGGAACCGATGAAGATGCCGATTTCTGACGTTTTGAAACTGCTATACACTGTTTGAAAACACTAGGCTATCACTTGTATCATATTCCCACAAATATGCGGGATCATTCTTTTATCTCAATTGAAAGCAATACCCTCAAAAAAGAAGAAGAAAGAGACAAGTCTTCAGTTGTATAATGTGTAATCTATCACTGATATTTAATGACCTGGATTTCTTATCAAATTCTTGATGTTTTACTGGCTGATCCTGCTTCTGTCTTGATTGCTTATCATTGCTAGATCTATAGATGTACATAGCAAATGAATGCAAGTAATCTGTTGAAGTGATGGATCGCATTGGGTCCAGTGCAAAAAAAAACTGTTTTTTTAATTTAAATCCTCAATGC